CGGGGCCCCGTGCCCCGGGGGACTGCCGCTGCCTGGCCTCCTGCCCCAAAACGCAGCTCGCAAGGGCAAGCGGGGGCAGCGCGCCGCCGGAGAGCTCACCCGCGGGCTTCCCGAGGGCGCTGAGCCCAGGCCCCTCCGGGTCGGCACCCGCCGCTCGCCTCCCCCTTTGCCAGGCCTTTCTCTCCTGCGGTGGTGGTCACAGCAGCAGCAGAATAAAATGACGAGCAAAAGCGGTCCTAGCAAATGCTGTTGGAAATGAGTGGAGATAACCAATCTTTATTCGCTTCCCACTGGAAGTTGGGAGCCAAACACGTTCTCTTGGTCTTTATTAAAACTCTTTAACAGTGTTTTAATTCTGTGCATTAGTGATTTAAGAGTGCTCCAGACGCAACTTTCAGGGCACCTTTTTAAGTGTATGCTTGTGTATTTGAGGTCAGAAGGTACGACAAGGGGAAGACGTTTATCCTACTGACCAACATTTAGTTAGGACTCTACCTTTGTAGTTTCTGACTGTAGCACAAATACTATTTTGTAACACTGGGTGCGTGATGTAAGTGAAAATCCAGCGGAAGCCACTGAACCGTGTGAAGGAGGCTTCTCCTCCTGCAGAGCTGCTCTCAGCTCGGACAAAGCCGCGCTCTCCCACCTTGCAAGTACAGCTCCTTGTCTTAGCAGACACCCCCTGTCCAGGTTCCCGTGTGCCTCTGTCCTCCTCTTTTTGCCCTTGTGCAGAAGGTTTTTGGGGCTTTCAGTGCTCTAAGATAGAGTGACCTAAATAGTTGCTCTAATTTATACGGTGGCTGGAGCTGAGCTGGTTTGAATATCGAGATGTAACAGGCTTTCTGCCTCCTCCACGCGTCCGCTGCTCAGTGATTTGCCAGGCTAGAGTCTGAGCAGAGTGATGTTGTTTAAGGTCACGCTGGAAGTTCAGAGTTGTAGTTAATTTCCTCTGCTGCACATGCCACCATCAAAAAAAAAAAGTATATTTTTGTATCAAGGATCCATGTGATTAAAACTGACCTTAATCAATGTTCCAGCAGCCATGCCAGATTTACCCCACTATGAATAGCAGTAAATAGGCTGAAAACATCCTGAGCTTTGGAGGCTGTGGTGTGTGAGCACAGCAGAGCCTTTGTTACAGACGCAACAGAGCCCTCACAATGGAGTTACTGCTTCCAGCTTTTGGTGCTGCTCTTTCAGAAAAAATCAGCTTTCAAAGAAGACTGAACTAACCCCACCATGCATGTTTTAGTGAACAGCAGCTCTTCACTGTGACACTGGTCCTCTGCTACTTTCCAGGTGCCCCCAGGTGTGACAGAGGCTCACGCCCGTGCCTCGGCTCTGCCTCCACTTGCCGAGGGCACCGGGAGCCGCCTCTGGGCACAGTCCTGCACTGGGTGGGCTGGAAACCCTCCACACAGAACAATTTATTCTGCTCCCTTGCTTCTTGTTTGCTTCCACATCTCGAGGCAACAGATGGACAATTGTTTCTACCTGCAGCACAAAAATGAATGTAAACAGTTATGTTAGTGTAAGCTAGTACTATCCAGCGTAAGTGGCTAGAGCTATAGTTTGCCAACCATTGCAATTCATAAATCGTATATATCATAAATCCAGCAAATATCTATGTGCAGTAAGATTAGTGTAGGCTGGCAATGATGAATCGTAAATAGAAACTGGAGAATGTGTTATATGTGAAGCTTTATGATCGTAACAAGATGGTATCATCATATTCACAGGTAACCAGCAGAGGCACCTAGTACTTTAATACCTTACATATTTGTTATGCAGCCAGATTCATGTTGACAAAACAGTGTGAACAGTCCCTTCTATGTTGATAAACAGTATTAGAAGGTTTAGGAAGTGGAAGTGACAGAAAAATATAAGCATTCAGTGCACGTTCAAAAAAGTGGCAGAAACAAACAAAAGATCTGCTACAGTACTCTGCATGTTAGCTGCCGTTCACTGATTGCTGAAGTTAGCCACGTTTACCTGCTATTAGCAAAAAAAAGGTGAAATCTTCTTTTCAACACAAATAAATAACAGTTTTAAAATCCTGAAATGAGGAGAGCTTGGTTCTTCTGAAACAATTAGCAACATACATAGCCTTAAGTCGCGTTCCCAATAGAACTAGAAACTAGTGTCCCCAAAAGCTCAGACCCATGAGATTCCACGTACTGATTAGCGCAAGCTGAAACTCAGCAGCTATTGAAGGATCTCTATTATCTTATATCCGTACTTAAGAGGTAGGTGTATAAAGCCAGTCCTTTAAATAGCTATCTCATGTTGACAATACTTTTGAAGTTCATCACTTAAAATACAAAAACAGAGAGAGCCTTTGTTTTACAAAGGTCTTTGCATGAGTGACTTATGCCTGTAATGAAAGACATCAGTATGAATCTTTGCAAGAGTCTGAAGAAACAGTTTTTGTTGTATATTTTTCATATGCTTTCTCAGGCAGAAACAATAAAGCACACCCTGATTTCATTATATCCACCCATGTACTAGAGGCTGTCAGATTGTATGACCTGCAGCAAACTCTTCAGTGACTTTTATTGTTTTGTTTAATTACTTTTTATTTTCTATAAAATACAATCTTTACAATTTGTCCTTTCCCTCCTACTTAGGAAATAAGGGCTTTTTTTGTAAAAAATAAATGCCTAAAAGCTGCATTGCTACTGAGTAGACACATGAGAACCGTCAGAAATGTTTCGTGGGAAACAAAGCTATCTGTGGTCAGCGTCTTTGCCGAAGACATTATCCCTCCTTTCTTGGGGACAGACTGGTCTGATGGGAGCAGTCTCAAAGTCGAGTGAAAAAAGGAAGGAATCAGAAAGTGTTTCTTGCTGCCCAGGTTTCTTAAATGCAAACATGGTTTCCCCGCAGATTTCTTTCAGCTTGGGAAGGAGGAGTAGTTTTCGGCTGGCAGTGGGCCCCGAGCCCCTGAAACGCAGCAAGGAGGTGCACCCAGTCCCGTCCGCTGGGTCTGGCCTGCCTCGCTCCCCAGGCAGCAGCAAGGGCAGATCTTGATGCAGTCTCTGTAGCTTTAACCAGAAGATGGAGGGCAGCAGCACGGGGCTGGGGATGCCTCATGCCCCGTTCGGGGCTGCAGGGGCAGGAGGTGTCAACATCTGTCGTGCTGCTTGTGTATAAAGTGCTTGAAAAATCATGAAGAAAAGTGTTATACCTCGTTTACATATGGCACATTTCTAAAGGAATCTGTACCTTTGGTGGAAAATTCTTACGGGTTCACAGATTTAAAAATTACCAGTATATTAACGGAGAAATATCATTAGCTTCTGCGAGCAAGGTACACAGCATACGGTAGCTGTATCAGAGCCAGAAGCCAGGATATTTGTATTCTTATGAAGGTAATGAATATGTTCTTGAGAAAAATTTCTGTACTTTGTTTCTAGGAGTCAGAATGGAAAGCACTTGGAAAGAGGATAAATTGAAAGGAGAGACTCAATAACATCTGTTTCTGTAGTGTCTAAATAGCAAATCTTTCTATGTTAAGAAGAACAGTTCAGTTACAGATTTTGAATACATTCTCTATATAGATTCCTCTTCTTCTGGCTTGGATTTTTAACTTTACAAACAGCAACTGCCTTCCATGGTGTATACTAACGCTAATCACAATCACTGATAGCTGCAGTGAATAGAAAGAGGATAAGAAATACGAGCTACTTTTAGAGGCAATAAACCAGAGCTCCTCACTCTTGGGGAAAAGCCATATTTAGGAGTAAGTGGCTGATCTGGTCAAAATTCATCACTGTGTCTACTAGTCTATGGATGTTCTTAAAGCTTGCCAACTTTATAGTTTGTCATGTTTATTAAGCATTCAGGAGCCTTAAAATATAACTTTTGGAGTAGAAGAGTGCGTTATTTTACAGAGATTCGATGTTACTCAGCCTTCAATTACTCAGCATTCAGTGTTCACCCTGCACGTCAGAAATCCTCTTCGAGAAAGATGGAATTTCATGGCTGAAGAAATAACTATGTTACCAAATAAAGGAATTACATCTGTAATTATAATTGAAATGTAAAACGTTTTGCAACGTGGGGAAGTAATTTCTCATTGCTTTATCAAAACTGTGCCCTAGGAGCCCAGTCATGGCCCTTGTTTCTAATTCACAGAAATGTTTTAAAATCCCATCCTTTGGTCCTCGTTTTGTTTTTACTCTGCTTAGTTCCCACGCAGCTTGTTAACTTCTTGCTATATCACTTTTCTGCATGGCGTACATCAGAAATCGTGGACAATCAGATTGCAAAACTGATCTTTTTCACAGAGGTCGTGCACATTACAAATAGATCATTGAATTCAGTAGGGCCACCTTGAGAATAAGGTACTATTCTCATGGAATACGAATACTACCGTCTAATCCAAAGTGCTAATAATATTCCAGTCAGAGGGAAGGATTTCTTGAGCTTTTCATCCTTACAGTATTTAGTGTTACACAACAACTGAAATCTGGATGTACTGTTTAGTACCAAATTAGGTACTTGGCACTTTGTCTTTCAGTACATGAACATAAATTCAGAACAGCTCATACTGAGATGCAAAAAATAGGGCAGAGATAAATGAAATCATGCAACAATTTTTACTTACTAAAGTAATGCTTTAAAATTTCCATAATAAGAAATATTGTAAAAGAATGTAATACTACCGTGAGTTACTATGTGTAAGAATTTTACAAAATTTGTAAAAGGTAACAGAAATTTACAAAATACACCCTTACATACTTACAGACTTGTAGCGAATTTTACTTCAGCAAGTGATTCTTTCTGAAGAAGAGATCATTAAAAATCCTCGTATTCTTCCCATGAGTCAGTGAGTAGGTTGAAGCCCCAATGGATGACAAAATTAAAATCCCCTGTTGCATAACTTTCAGTACCACAAACTATAAAGAAACTTATTCCATGTACACAAATGAAAGGAAAGGAAGCTCAGGAAGCACAGTCAGAGGCAGCTGAAGTATGTGCGTGCAACTCTACTTTTAGGGCATGTTAGCGGGAGAAAATATTTCTGTACTTGCATTAGGTAAGAAATTAAAATTCTGTCATTTTAGTCGCATATAATCCAATTTTTTATAGTGCATCAAAAATTCTTGGGTACCTTATTGCTTCACTAGTGTCTTTCTTGTATTGGTAATAAGGGTGTTTAAATAGACTTCATATTTCAGAATCAAGAGCTACATTTTTGTCACTTCTTATCCTTAGTTGTTTTAGTTTCACAGACACATGCTTTTCCCCAGTCTGGTGCAGGATGGTGGTGCAGCAGCTGACCCACAGCTATCGCTGCAGTCTGTCTACACCTACCCAAGAAATGTGGCCGGCTGATCCACGTGTTTTGTAGATCCTTCCACAGCGAGCTGCTTTGTTTGTTGTCAGACTGCACGGAAAAGGAACAGCTATTTTCAACGTCGCACCCTTCAACCTTTCAGCAGAACTGTGGTGGTTCTCTTCCTCTTCAGATTTTGCAGAACTGCCTTTTGAGATGGAGGGGAAAGGAAGCTGAATTTACACCTAATGAAATGGCCATCTGGACCGAAGGCTTTCCAAGTTCTGTACTTCTTTAATGGATGCATTAATTTCTAAGAGCGTGATAATATTGCTGACTTTTATCGCTTCTTTTTACACAGCCTGCTATTTCAAGATTTTTGAGACATTTGATTTAACAAATCAGAAGTATATTTCAAATGTACAGATGTTTGAAACAACCCAGTAAATGCGAGTTGTGAGGTCCTTTTGCTTAAGCATTTTGCGGGGACTCTGGTAACCAGATTCACGTGATTTTGTGAAATAATTGTTTTCCGTTCTTCCTCTAAATCCTTTTTCAGAACTGACCATGGCTTTTTTTAAACTTTATCCATAAGTAAAACGTGTGTGTCCTCTAGTTATAATCAGAGACTGGATCCACACTGCCATTTGCCTTTTTATCCTAATGGTGAATAGTTTGTTTATGATATGCTGTCCTGTATTTGTAAGAACCTGGCGTAAAATAGGGGAACAAAGCACAAAAGGTTAGATTTTTTAGGGCTAGCAAGAACCATTTCAGTCTTCCGTATCTTGACACTGCAGCAAATTGTCCTAATGAACCTTTCTGTTTGATATACACAAGGATACTGAGCTCATGTGCCAGCAGACAGAGACTGCATGCTTTTAAGCCTCCCACAGGCAAAAATAATTTTCTTCCTCTCCTCAAAGTTGATCAAGCCAATACTTTCCTTGAAAGAAATATTCATCAAACTCTACCTCAAGTTAAAAAGTAAATCCCTCTGTAAAGTCATGCATGCTTTTCCCTCTGAATACTCTCTGAGTCCTTTGTGCCTAGTATCAACCCTTGGCTTCACTGATCTTCTCTTCAAGGATTTTTCTGTTATCCAGCAACTTTGACTAGCCGGCATTTTCTAAGCTTCTGCTGGGCCATTCCTGGCTTCTGCTTGAGCGGACCCAGACAATGTTTAATGACCCTCCAGTATTCCAGTTTTTGGACGTACATATCACAGCTCTGGCAGCAAGTGGCAGATTCCACATCCACTGACATATTTATTAGTACAGAAATGTTTTGAGATCAGTCAGAATTTGTAAACTGCACAGAGATTCCCCGATATGTCACACATGACTTCTTCCTTCATTCTTTTTAATTTTAAAATCAATATAGAAAATTAAATCATTTTTGGTGGGATAGAATAGAAAAAAGCCTTTTCATAGTTCTGTTTCCAGTCCTGCTAATCCTCATAAATATAATTAGTTCTATTGTATTTATGGTGACTACTCACATATATAAAGTTACTTACTTGAGTAAAATGTCTGCAGAATTAGGGCCTAGTTTGCATTATTATTTTTACCACAAACTAAAATTAACCCATCCTATATAATTGAAAATCTTGGATTTATACGTATAAATTTTGCACTGGAGTGCAAATCCTATAATCAAATCTATATAGGTAGGTACTATCAACAAGAAGTCTTACTGATTTCAAACATGTCTATAGGTCCATTGCTGGGACTATAGTCTAGACTTCAGATCATATAGATATACCAGGTAAGCATATGAGCCATATAAAGGATTTAAAAGCAGATTTCTAACTACCCAAAGTCCTTTGGAATAGTACAAAACAGTTTTTAGCTGCATGAAATAGGACTCAAACCAACAAACCTGTGTTTGGATTTCCCTTTTCTTTTAAGCAGACATTAGAGGCCAGATCCAAGTTATTCTTAACAAACGCGGTTTACCTCCCAGAGCCAGAGTGTACAGGCTACTTCCCAGATCATAACCAAAATGCACAGCATTTCTCTGCTTCTCTCTCAGAGCAGGACACAGATACACAGCTTGAAACATTTGCAGCAGCTAATCTGCAGAAAAACAGAACAAAAAGCACATCAAAGCCTAAAATTTTCTCTTGTTGTAGTTGGTAAACAAAACACTGTATTTGGGGCTATTCCGGGTTAGGCCTCAGCATTTTCACCCTTGAACACTTTTCAAGTTTTTCTATTCTGCATAGTCATTTTATTTTATCAGTGACCCCCATGCATTTTTTTCAATTACATTTTTAGTCTTCCCTGGCAGAAGCACGCCTCTAAAAGTCATTAATGAACTGCAGTATCCTCTGACGTGCTGGACTTGCTGCCCTATCTGGTAAAAATATGATCTGCATTTCTAATTTTAGTTTAAAAGGCAAAAGGATAGATTTTCCTCAAAGCTTTGCAAAAAATCTCTTATGAGTCTCCATTTAAGGAATCAAAAATAAATTTTATAAAATTTACCCAACATTTTTGCGGTTTGTTGCAGTAAGGGGATTTTACTGTTTAAATATGATCGTATTCTCCTGTTTATTATTTTGTTAACAATAGACACAAGCAATAATAGATTTTATGTATAATATAGTTGGCTATAAGAAGGTTACCTCCTGTCATAAGGAAACTAAATAACTTAATACAAGCATATAATTATTTTTACATTGTTAAAAGAATAAATAAGCTGCGCTTATTGGTAATGGAAACAGGTTGCATACAGTTATTTTCCAGACAAGTATAATATAAGAATCATACTTCCTTTTTTTTTATTCTATTACACACAGCAAAGCAGAACACGCGTTTGCTTGCCAAAGAATTTCACATCTATTTTACTGGGGAGAGAAATTATTTCACAGTGTTTTTGAAAGCCTAGATGTCTGTAAGCCATTCCAGTGAAAATTCACTTTCTTTTTATTGATCTAGAGATTTTATGTTGCTCTGAGGAAGCAGGCGGCTGCAGAAATGTTATAGCACAGAAGGAAAGGGAAACAGCAGGTATGGTCACATTGTTTATGAACTGCATAATAAAATAAGCCTGATGTTGGCTTCATTTTGTCATTTCTTAAGACTAGTTATAAATGACAATATTGCAGAAGCATCATGTAGGATATTTTTAAAGAACAGTAAAAAATAAGTAGCTTTGCAGTAGGAAAACCGCAGTGATGGAGCCTTGTGCAGGGGAGAGAGGAAAGCACACTAGTCAGCTTCATATTATACGCTCAGATCCCTAACAGAGCAGCAAAGAGAAAATCCTTTCCTATGCAGCACAGGAAGATGCCGCTTTCAATCTAGCCCTCAATATCAGAAATATAATGACAATTCAGAGACTGGCACTGATAATTAAGGAGCTAGAGGGACTGATTTAAAAAGAAATAGTGTTGATTAAAATTTGCGTTTAAAGCATTTTCTATCAGAGGATCACAACTGCTGCATTAGTATTAGACCAGCGTTTTCAAAAGCGAGCGTTAATGGGCTGCTGTACTGCAATGGACTCTGGTACTCAGCAGATTTTCAGAGCAGGTGCCTTGGGCTAAATACTCCAGGAGGGCTGAAGCGTTAGACACATTACTGCTCTTTGTGGGAGCACGCAGACAGCCCCCTTTGCCTTTGTTTCCAGCCAGGTGCTCCTGATTTAAACAGCTCTAAGCACAAACAAAGTCACAGAAGTGAAGGGTCATTAGGACTGTATAGACACTACTGGTAATTCAGCAAAGCACGTACCTTCAAACCACTAATAGAAAAAATAAAAAAACCCAGCTCTCTCTCACTCCCTCCCCCAAAACCTTAATCAACCAATTAAATGAACTTTATCTGAAAATGAATGACATAGAGATGGATGACAGTGTGTGGAAAGAAAGAAGCAGCTACTGAGAAGATTGAAACCAGAGAGAAACCAGAGAGAACTGCAGTCCAAAGGACAGTTGCATCAGCCCACGGCTGCAGCATCACATCCACCATTAACAGTACATGACACAGCTGAAGATAAGATTGTTGTAGAAAGGGGAGATGCAAAGTGACTAAATGTAAGATAAATCCGCACACTCTAAACAGGGAGGAAGAGCCACAGAAAGTTTTCCATGACTTTCCCTAAAGACAATTGGAAAGACAAGCTAATGTACAAAATGGATGAACGTGAGAAAGGTCTGAAAAAGATGAGTAGACAGAGCCATGATTTGGGAGAGCTAGTAGTGTCACTGCAGTGTTGTACGCACTAACTAAAACCCCAAAATTAAAAACATATATATATTTTGGGAGTAGCCTGGTGTCTGACAGATTTATGCACTACGTTTCAGGCTCCCATGCTTTCTCCTACCCTTGCTCCTCTCTCCGCACCAATAAATACCTCCAGTTCCTTTCCATTTTCCTATCCTTGTTAGGCAGAGATCTGTAACAGCAATGCTGAGATGAGCGTGATTGACAAAAAGCGGGAGAGGGGATATGAGTGGCATGTGTTGATGGCACCTAGATTAGCAGCTCATCAGGATCCCAGCATATTTATGTGCAGTTGCAAAGGACATCCAGGTTAGGAGACAAAGGAGAGTGAGTAAATCCTGATGACTCACAGAGGTGGGACAGGATGGAGAGACTGAGGACTGTCAGCTCCTAAAGGGTGTAGAAAAGGCATAGCCGAAATCAACACATGGAGCTCATTGAGAAGAATGGAAAAACAGCCAAGAAACCCAGCAGACTAATCTGCTCAGATAATAGAAGCAAGGAAATATTCCTTGCTCTACAAAAACAGAAAGGGGTTTTATGGTCTTTATACTGTTTTCCACTGCTTATCCTGTGGAATAAGTACCTTGCACTGGTGGAAATGAAGTCATTGCAAAATATTATAAAATAACCTTGGGGAAGTAGAACAGAGACCCTGGGCCCCACTCAGCACACAAGTTCTCTGAAAGAATTCACCTTGCTGAGAGCTGTCATCAGTGAGATGGTCTTTGGGCCTTGACATAGTACCAGGGACAGCATAAGTGACTAAGCATAAGCACGTATATCAGAAGATCTGGTGCATCTAAAATTCTGCATTGACGCTGCTGAACACAGATTGCTTTTGTCTTGAAACACAAATTCATGTATGTCACTGCTCCAGTGAAATATATACTTCAATAATAATTCTCAAATCTCTCAGGTCCTAATCATTTAACCATTGTTAATTATTTGGCAATTACGCTGATGAAAGGTTAAAAATGATCACAGAGCCGTTTTTTCAGTCAAGGAAAGGAGAAATGGTTTAAAATTATAACCTTACAGTTGATGTTTAATGGTAATGATATGCTATTTTTATATTATTCGAAGTAGCAGACGATTACTTAGAAATTTTGACATTCGAAAATGGTCTAGAAAAGTCTGGTAAGCTAAATTAGAGACAATCATTCTCTACCGTGAAATTACTACATAGTATAGGTTGTTACAGAAATACAACTTTACAAGTAAATATCTTGCTGACCACTGAATACCACAACCTGGCATTTATACTTCTGCTGTCCGAAGTATATGTAAAGTAGGCACAGACTATAGTTAGGAGTGTTAAGATAAACTTTGTCTTTCTAAGAAAGAACAAGGTATATTTTCACAAGGTATGTTTTCACATATTATTAATGGAGTAAGCCATGCATATTTAAATGGAAAACATAAGTAAGTTAAACTAATCATGAGCATAGTATCTTTTTAAAGTTGCACATCAACGATCAGTAATGTCTGTCAAGTTGCCAATTTTTTGCTTCACTTTTTTCAAATGTAGCATAGTTGGAAGAACTTAACTGCAATATCTTGTATTGTAATGTCCTCCTGGTCATTTCAGATTACAAAATGAAAGTGCAATCTATTTAATTTTTCCCGCAATGAGTAGCTCTTAGCCAGGGTAGGCACAGGAGTCTATGTTTCGTGTTTTCTTCCCTTCTTTAAAGGGAAATTGGAACAAATGAGCAGAATCTTATGCCCTTAAAAGGAAGAACTCCAGGATATTTCAGGCCAAGAGCAAGAGAGCATTTCAAAGCCCAGAGGGGGTCACTGCGAAGCATACCCTGCCAAGCACTTGGGTTACGGGAGGTGTATTACGAGCACCTCTTCCAGTTGCATCTCTGACACCACAGGGAGGAGCGAGCAGGGAGGAATGCAGTCTCCTCACAAGGATTGATCTCAGGTTACCAAACACTTGTTATCTTCCTGGTACGACCTACTAGACCTTATAAAGCCATCACTTAAAGTAGATCCAATCTTTTGAGTACCGCAGAGGCGTTTAACATAATGCTGGGTACTGTAAACAACTGCTAGGAAACTGATGACCTTATCTTTATTAGAAATAGCCAGAGCACTCATACAAGCTATAATAAGAAGAAAGGTACTGGTACACATTACTTAAGAGCAAATTTGAAGATTCAGTGTTGCCCTGCAGTACGTGGAAGTACATGGCAGCATATGGAACTTCTCACACTTTTTTGAGTATTTATCAGGGCTTAATATGCAAATGTTAAACGCAAATTATTTCAGGAAATACCATACTTATGAAGATGGGGGAATGCAACCCTTCGGTCAGGCTTTTCTTGACAGCAAAAAGGGTTGGGTTCCAATTTCAGGAGTTTCTGATGAACACCAGCTCAGATATATACCCTGAAACTTGGAAATACTAAACTAAGTGGTTGCATTCCCAGTAAGCTAATTGTCCCCACCTGTAAATGACAAATGAACTCGAATGTCAGAACAGTATTTCACTGAAGGGAAGGAGTAGAAGGGGTAATTGGGGACATAGGGGAATATACAAGAAATAACCTCTACTTTCCCAAGGCACAAGCAACAAGCATATAATATAAAGTCCTTCTCTTTCTTTTCTTGTGCTAGGTCCTGAGGCTCTTTCTCTCTCCCTATAACACCTCCGTCCCTAACTTATTGCCTATAGGCCTGGCTCCAGGGCTGCATCGTCCACCCTGCCGAGGAGCAAGGCCTTCAGCCCCTGCAGCTCCTGGGATTAAAGTGAGCATCGCTACTGCCTTTGCCGGTGCCTCCGGCCCCTCTCTTCAGCTGCCGCCTTGCTTAGAGGAGCCACTGCAGCTCCAGCCTCGTGTAACTAATCACTGCGGCTCCACTAGTGGACCCTGTTCCTTGGGTCCCTCTGCCCTCCAGCAAGGATGCATGCAACACACGGGATGCACACAGGGCTTCGCTGCTCAGAGGAGGCTCGTTAAATAGACTTCCCTATCCTGCCTTGTCAATCTACAACTTTTGCACCCTGAATCTCTTGTACCTGAGCTGATTTGCCCGGACTTACACTCAGTGTTGCTACTACATAATTTCCCCCGCAGTATGATGTGCCTGTTTATTATAAAGCGAAATATCTCACCTGTAACATAAATAGTGAACCACGTGTCTCTGTTTTCCTGTTGCCACGTGTCAACCAAGTCCTCGTCGTCTTCTGGAGAGAGGGCGGCTCTTCCCTTTAGGCCTCAGCCATCAGGATTGCATTCAGCTAAAATGAGAGAAAATTGTAGCTCGTCTTTCCAGTTCTTTCTTGAAACAGCAAATTAAGAGATTAAAATAAATAACCTGACTGAAACTTTATATGAACACAAATCATGGTATTGATTAAGAAATTAGTTTGGTCATAATCGTAAGCAGAGCTTATCATTACATTTCATTTCCTGTAATGGACACTTTCTGTTGCATTTATATAAACAGAGGAATCCTTTTTAAGTTAAATTATGTGCCTGTATTCCTCTGTGCTTTAAAATGTCCAGGGCTTCAGGGCATATACATTTGAAGTGCACCATATTCTTCCTTTTCTATTTGCTGTTTCTTCAGTAGCAAAACTGTGATCTATCGCTGGTTCCAAGGTGATTATATAATGTCTTCTCGTTTCAAGAGAACAAGTATATCAAATACCACAAGGTTCTTCAAAGTTCTGTTAGACTTTTTTTTAGGTTCTGCTCTTTCTCTCACAGTGTTTATCAACTTTGAAGACATAAACACCTCTTTCTCTCATTCTTGCTGGTGCTGAAAAACTATTACTTGTTCTCATGTTAGAAACCATTCCCCCTTGTAGGATTTTGTTTTTGTTTTTGTTTTTGGGTGTTTTTTTGAGATATCATAGCACTAGAATGGGAGCAATTTCCCTTTATTTAGGGAGCATATTATACATCTATAGTGGCTCATAAGTAGCACGGTTCTTCCGGGAGCATATAAAGCATATACAGCTCCTGCACGCAGCAATTTCTTTTGGGATTTATACATTACTGAGTTTATCTGTCTAAACCCTTGTTTGCAATCACCTCTACACCAACAGTAGCTGCAGAGACTCCTCGGGTTGGGATAACAAATCTAAAATGAACCTCATTTATAAGAGGATAGAAAACGAGTGAGTCTGTAATTCAGAGAAGAATAGCACTACGGGTCAAGTCACTCTCTTTTGGATCTCTGTCATCTTACAGTTGGTATACCTGTGTCTCTGAAGGCCCCCACACCTTCCAGATGAGCACTGCTGGAAGGCAAGAGAGTCATAAAGGCAGTCAGTAAGGAAGCCCTCTTCCCCCATCCTCACGCTCCTCAGAGCTAAGTAGGGACAGGCCGGTAAGCATCCTCTCATCCCTAAAATATTGTTGAAACAGAAACTGCCAGTCAGCACTTTGAAAAAGGCGCTGCGTGCAGAGACTGTCTTTTAATCTATGTCTCTCTCCCCACGCAGTTTATTCAAAGAACATTTTCTATTTGTTTCGCAACATATGAAGCTTGACAGTCTTCACAGTATAGAGTGAGGCTGAACTATTTCAAATGCCCACAGGACTTCAATTATGCTCCTTGCTCTTCTGCAGTGATTAATGCATTTGGAAACTAACAACGTCACTTTGCTACGGCTGGAGCAGGCCTGTGCATACCGGCATGTCTGCAGGCAGCTGGAAGGGAAGGCAGGAGCAGAATCACCAATGCTGTGCCGACCGCGGTGTCCAATCAATAATCCACAGCAAAAGCATCATAAGCTCTGCAATATTTCAGGGGACTTGACAAGCTGGCATGTAGCATTCCTAGCGGCAGGATACCTCAGTGCAAGTCTGAATATGGAGAATTTGGAATATTTGGTGTTTCATTTTTCAAAGGACCTGTTGTGTATCGATAAAACAGAAATTAGAAAGAGAATTTGTTAGATAGAGTCATTTGTATCACTCCATAAAACCTTATTTTCCCAGCAGAAGAAGCTGTGGAAATCAAGTGAAGAATCTGTTCTGATCTCTAGCTGACAATAAATGTTAACATATATTTTAATCCCCTTAAAAGGATAAGTGTGTGAGGGTCACTAACATTTATCGACTCAAAAATTGCATGTGCCAGAAGACTTGAAAATCGTCAAACTCTATCATCTGCGAAATAAAAGTATGTATTTCAGGGACGTATTCATTTCGTAAGGGTCCTTTAGATTTATACGTTTCTCACAAATCTATGATTTAGTGATTTAGTTGGAGCCAAAGACAGATGGATGGAAGAGAGAGAGAAATGCTTTAGGGGCATCAAAAAGGTAGCTTGGCACCATCAAACAGCATCCTGGGATCACAACACAGCAACACAGCTGCTTGTAGGCTAAACATTAGTCTAAACATTAGATATGGCTTTTATTCTTTCCATATTTCTTGTTTCTTTCTCATTTGCTTTTATTTTCTCATTTTCGTGTTTCTCTCTTATTTTTAGCCTTTCCTGATTTCATTCTATTTGTCCTCTGCATATTTATTTCTGTCCCTCTGTGATTCCAGCACTCCCTTTGTTGCTGAATATTTACTCACAATTCTTTTCTCCTTCTCTGCTATTCCTCTTTCTTTTGGCACCTTTTCTCCTTGCTCTAGAAGCAATCTGTTGGGTTGCTTCTGCCTTCAACAGAGGGAGAGCAGGTTATCTCCCTCTGTTGTTTCCACACCTCTTTACTCTTCCCTGGCCCTACCTTTTTTTCTCCTCCCCCCCCTTTTTTTTTCTTCCTGCTTCCTATTGCCCATAGGATTTCTTGATTACCTTTAAGAATACTTCCTTCTTTACCAGCTACCTTTCTACATCGTGAGAAGGGGCCCCGCTTAACTCTCATTGCTTAGATGGTTGCTCACTGTTAAATGGCAGAAAGGCCAAGCACAGTGATGGTAACCTGAGCTCACAGAAACAAATAACGAAAACTCTAATCAGATTCTCTGGCCCTAACTGATAATTTACAATCATGCTGATTAGGTTTTAGGGACCGATTCCTGATCAGTACAGGAGTCCTGCTGACATTTCTTCAGTCAGTTACTATTTGCTCGTACCCACCATACAGTGCCCACAATTTCCTCTGATAAGTGCATCATCTCTCAGAAACTACTGGCATTTCAACATATACATTTGGTCATGAACATTGGTTGTCATGAAATGACAGCCCCAAGCAATACAGATAACACTCCGTGTGCAAATAATGTGCTTGTCAGGCACCTCCCAGGCCCACTGCCTTTCTCTTGATGTTCAGGCCAGGGAATATATTTCTACCTCCTCTACTTTTCTGTCATTTGCATTTTCATTTGCTAAGAGTATTATACTGTCCTGTTTATCTTGGACTGCAGCATGAAGATCTTTGTGCATCTTATCCCCTCTAGGAATTTCCCAGGGAAGTATTTCCTCGCTGTACCTATTTACTAAATGACGACAAAAGATTTCTCTAACATAAAGAAGTAGAGACTGTCCTTAGAGAAAGCCAAAATCCTTCTGAAGGATAATTAATTTTCTGGATACAGTTCAGCAGAATGCCATTGTGTGTATGAGCATGTGTTAGCAAGAAATAAAAGCTTCGTATAATATAAGCCCTCTCCTAGCTGATTGTAGTAATAAGAAAAAGACCAGTTCAGTGTATCTTGGGGGTTCTTTTAGCGGATACTTTGAGCTCAAACCCTCAGCCAGGATTTCTGGAATCACTAAATACATCCCCTGAGAGCCCTTAGAAGTTATTCCCCCCTTCCAAACACTGGATTCTTGTAAAGGGGGTTTGAAAAAAGCAAGACATTATCATTAGTAAAGATACACAACCTCAGCCTGAATGCTGCCCCCAGCAAAGTTGTTTATGATGATACATAATGTGTTCCCTCAAGCTAGTTTTAGAAGTAGTTCATTATTTTGATTCCTCACTCACTAAAAAGAATGCGCAGCAGACATGTATACTGTTAGCAACACTTCTCGGGCTAATGTGTTAGTTTTCATTGCACAGTGCAGTGTAAGAGGGCTTGCAGTGCTGCTTGACCTTGTCCTTTGGTTCATCTAACTAATTTCAGCTGTTTAGCACTGGGAAAAAGGAAGTCCTTACGGAGCTAATCCAGATTTGCTATCATTCTCTTCGGCTTCTGGAAGAACCTTCATTTTGTTTGGAGAGTCTTTCTCGGGAGACAGACTCCGAACTGAACTCCACATTAAGTTCAGTTTCACTATCCAAGTAGTTTTAAACTTGCTTCCTGTTCTGATGGCTCCCAAAGCATCTCTGGGGTAGTGCTGGGTTGAAAACTTATGCAAATAGAGCTTCTTGATGGCTTCCTTTTCCCTGTGTGCCAATAACTGAGAGCAGAGAGCACTTTATTCTCTGCATTTTCATCCCATCAGGAGTTCTGGGTAAATAGTTTATGCAGACGGGTTAGCTCTCTGCCCATTATTCTCCCATTCGCCCAAAGAGGAGCCTTCTAAAGATTCAGGCCATGGGGCTTAAATGAGGTTTTATGAAATAATATTTTTCTATTTTAGAATAATACCTGTCAGAAGGAAAAACAAGCAAAAAAAATCTGCAGGAGTTAAGATTGCCACAGCCACATCCAAGTATTTTAAAGAATCCCATTATCCCTCTGGACTTACCACAGTGTTGATGATACTGTGTAGAGGTCCAAAGTTCTTCAGGTGAATCACTCTATTATCAGATGCAGTAAGCTTTATGAAAACAAAGAAGCTTCTGTTGGTTCAGGGTCAGGTAAGTTCTGTTAATACCAGTCTCTCACTGACTGGTTCAGAAAGTGCCTCTAAGATTTAAGCTAGGCTACTGAAATTGCATTTGGGTGCACTCTCTTCATATGTCTTCAACATATGCATGCACTTACTTGCCTTCCCCCACTTCAGCACCCCACAGGGACATGAGCCGGCCGCCTCAGGGTCCTCTCCGCCTCAGCCAGTGTCTCCACCTACAACATCAAGAAGCAGCTGCACCCAGGGCATCCTGGGCTGATGAAATGTACCCTTATTCCCTCGTTGCTTTGCACCTTTTGGTGGCATGCCTGTAACCAGTATCCTCCGCTTCGATTTCTTTAAAAGAGCCCTGGGTATTTTGGTGATTCTGTTTAGTGTTCTTCTGTGGCATATTATTCTTTTTTAGGTCATTTCTGTCCCTATTTTTTCAATACAATTTCTGTTCTGTGGCTTTTTTGTTCAACATAAGGAAAGAGCTTTTAGTTGCAGATGTGTCTAAGCCCGCTCAGTCAAGGAATTTTCTACCGGGGCACAAAGTCTTTTTTTCAGCTGGCTATATCTAATCTTATCTTTTGCTGCCCGATAGCTCTGTAACAAACATATTTGAGAAACAAATAAACTGACTGCAGAAGGAGGGTTTATTAGATATGCAAACGTAGCTACCTGACCCAGACTCAATTTTGTGGATTTAGTGGCTCATTTCAGCCTGGTGACCTTTTTTACTGTATTGTTTTGTATGATGTTTAGCCACATCCTCCCTCGCTTATGCAAGACTGCAGTGCTAGCTGTGCATAGCATCCCTTTCCTTGGCCAGCAGACCCTGCTCCCTGCTCCAGTTTCAGAGTGGCTTTTCTGTGACTGTCTTAATGCAGTAGCCATCTCCATTTTTCTGTTCTTTTAAAATCTGGATTAACTGTATATCCAGGATCATTTCCATCAGGCAATGCCTGGCCCAGGTGCCTGGTCTGCACGGCTTTGCTCAGTGCTGCGCGGGGCCAGTGCGGTGAGGGGCAGCGTGGGCCCCCCCAGAGCCTCCCCCAGACACCTCCCTGTAGCTCCTACTGGCCTCACTGGCTGCCACGTGGCTCCTACTCTACTGTCAGTGTTAGGAGCTGGTTTTCCTTGGAAATATTGTTCACTAAGAATTTTGGCTACCACTAGCTATTAGTCAAAGCAAGAAGATGTACGTTTAGGAATTAATGGGAGTATGAGTCCGCTGCTTAGCAGACTTATCATAATGGGAGCAATTTATAATCCCTCTTGAGCAAAACTGGATTTAAGCCAGTTTAACCAACACACAAAAGGCTGTGTAGCTAATTAGCAGGGTTTTGTAGCATCTAGGCTTCCAATAAATATTAATGTGATGTCCTAAAGAATGAGGTTTATGTTCCTGAAACATACATCTATTAAGTCAAGATTTGACCTTTTTGGAGATTACACAGGCAAAATCCTTCACTCTCTGCAAACACAGGCAAAAATCAATCATCTCCTGCAAGCGTACTCTGAACAAGTCCAAATGCCACATCCTATGTTTAATGGATAAGTTTGATTGAACTGAATACAGAAACAAAATAAATGTAACTCTCCTAACCTAACTACAATAAATTAAATATTGACACCAGATCCAAATTTTTAAAAAGTCATGTATTAGTTTTGAGTAATATCAACAATTACAACTATTTTGTTCCTCCCACAGTAAGAGGAGAGTCTATCTGTACGTAATTACTCCCAAAAATCTACATTAAAATCCTGTTGCCGGTATAAAGTAAAACACTCCAGAATTGTTAATGCTAAAATGAAATCTATCAGTAAAGCAATCATTCTCCATTATGTACGCATTCTGGTATTTTCCTCCAAAATTAACGATCAATAACATTTTAACTCCTATATTTCATGCCCATCAGCACTGTTCTCTTACACAAAGGAGAAGCTTTTAGCAGGAAGAGCTGTAATGCCTCATATAGACCGCTCGGTCAGTGGCTACCTAACACACATGGTGCCAGTAAGATACCTGATTGTGGTAAAATGGCAAGGGACTCCTGGTGTGGGGATTCCCAGCTTCCCAGCGCTCAGAGGGGTAGGTAGCGATGAGGGACGTGGTTACAGAAAGGGGCACTGGGAAACTCCAGTAACATA